CATCTTGAGAAGCAAACTATTACTACTCAGCCATGTGAAGTTGAATTTGTTGTTGTGATTTCAGATCACAACACTCCATCCCATCTGCTTTTCACCAGCTATGATGTTCATACTCATCCAGTATCACCACCAATCAAAGTTCCAAAACATCTAATTGATGATATTCAACATGTTATTCAATGAATTCATGATTCATCATTAACAACTAGTAGATATTAGTAATGATCAGTGATTAGAACATGCTGACAATATAGAGTGATTTTTGAATCATTCTTTGTTCATTGAGTACTTGAATTTAGAAGAAGCAGATACTTCAAGTGATCTTCATTCTGAACTCAACAATCAAAATGTTCTGCAAGAGATTCTTCAGAAGAAGCAGTTATTACTACATTCTGCTGATCAAAATTCAAATGGTATTCTCTTTTACTGATGACTACTAATTATGTATGCTAAATACACAGTAGCACTCCAACTCAAAATGGAACTTGACAAGAAAAATAACAAGAAATATATCCACAAGATCTACAATAATGACAATCTGTTTATTGCTGTATTACTACTAAAAGAACAAGCTGAACTTCTAGTTGAATTCAAATTCTTTCAGATGAATATGACATTCTCAAAGATTACAGATGACATTAAGATTATTGACTTTATGACAATGCATTCTTATTTGAATTGAAGTATGTTAACTGAATATTTCTGATATCATCTGATCACTGCTGGTAAATACTAATCTGAATCACATGCAATCAGTAATAACTCTTGGCTGACTACTGATTAATCAGAATACAAGTGCCATGTACTACAAAGCATTTAAACTGTTTTTCTATGAAGTGGAGGTACTGCATGGTAGAGAGATTGAATGAAAACACATTTATGATTGAGGCATTGAAGCTATTATAGTAGATATGTGTCTCAAACAAACTTCTAATAACAATCATTTACTTTCATAAAGTCCTCACAGGTACTGATTATATCTGATAGAACTAGATGATTATCTTGAGAATCTTGATTCATTCTGAACATGACAAGATCATGTTCAACATGTGCTGACTTTCTGCCTTGTACATTATGCTTATGGTGTTAACCAGACACAATCTGGTATATTCCAGCAATGTCTAATGGAATCAATACCACATTGTTCTAGTAAAAATGTTGTATAATGGTCTCTTGATGAGTTGATTTGAGATTCAAACAGTAAGATATCTGAGTGGGCAGTCCATGAAAAATCATCATGAATTCTAGCTGAACTTAATGATGAATTTACCAAAATGAATTATCTCACATTCAAAAATCTTCAGAGAAATATCAATGCTATTAATAGTAATCATCATCAACTGAATCTTACTGATATCAACATTTCAATCATCTCTGCTGTTGAAGAGTATGTTTGTATTTCAAGACATATTCTATCAGACACACTACTGATATCATCCAGATGCTACTGATTGAATGTTGATGACATTCAACAGTTAAAAACATTTAAAGAGACTGATGTTTGATCTGAATATGAAGATCAGAGTGCTGAGCAATGAGTTCATAGAAGCAATGTCAATGATAGAAACTAGTAACTATTGATATAAATCACTATAAATCATATGGATATTAACTGTCAATAGTCAATTAAAGACATGCAGTCCATCAATAAACCAATTCTACAACATCAACATGGAGCAACATGAACTCATTGATAATTACTAGTAGATCTAGCTCTAGAAGAGATCAAAAGCAATGAGCAGATACTATGACTACTGATTCATCAGTTCAAAGAACAAATGAAAGACTGAAATTTGATCAATTCTCATCATCTGACTGTTTAAGTAATAACTCTCTTTATTCAATTTCTACTAATAGTTACTGACAATCTGCTGACATTATCAAGAAGTCCTGAGTGCATCCATGTTCAGTTCAGTTGACTTGACTCAGAAAGATGATGATACAAGTCAGAATGAATTAAATACTACTAGTGATAGCTTCTCAAGAGATATTGAAAATTTTAATGAGTTTCAAATTGCTTATAGAAATTTAGAATGGAGAAAAAGAGCTTTGGCTCTAGAGCAGAAGAAATTATCATTGAGAGAGAGAGAACTGACAGTAAAGAAATCTTTACTGAATAATACTAATAATGCTCAGTAGAAGATAATATTTCATAGAAGAGAGTGTAGTGAAGATATATTATTTGCTCAAGAGATATTGAATAATAAGAAATAATATTATCAATTTGAATCTCATTAACATAAAAATCAGTAACTATCAGTAAAAAACAAAAGTCTCCATTTCTTCTCATAAAAACAAAGTCTCCAACTTAATAATTATCAGTAAAAACCAAGTAGAATCAATTCTCCATGTTAAATTGTTCAAGACACATTATTCAGTAATCTTCAATAAGAAAAGAAGTTAGTGTTGAGTGCAAGAGATAGCTGAAGTGCAGAGGTGAAATTTTCTATATTGCTAGTCAGTAACTGATAAGATCAGTAGAATAGAATAGACAAAGATCTATCAGCAATTTTCATTTGTAGATGAGCAAGTTGAAAGAGATCTTTTCACACAGCTCTGACAGTGATCTGTTGCTTCACTATTATCAGTAAGAAGCAGTATCATCAGTAACAAGATGTCACTTACTGTTTACAACTTTTTGAAGTTGTGGAAGAAGAAATTGAGATTTGCTGTTGAACACTATCAGTCTCATCAGCTGAACTGACTGAATGATGTCTATCAGTTGTAATTAGTAACTTCAGTAACATTCAGTAACACACAGTTGGACTCACACAGTGTCTTAACTGTCACCACAGCTGTCATCATCATGACTGTCATGAGCATGATCTTTATGTTCATGCTCACACCCACACACAGATTCTGAAGTTGAAGCAGCAGAAAGTTCATTCTTCTTCTTCTCTTCTTCATTCTTCTTCTTCTCCTCTTTATCTTCAGATTCTTCTGAATGAGAATAGATATTCTCACTATTACTAGTAAGTATCAGATAGAATCAATAGATTCTATGGCCATCACTTACAGATCTTCATTCTCACTATATTGAGTTGATTGATAAGTCAGAACATTAGAGTTATTACTGATTGTGATCACTTACTGCTAATAACATTCAGAGATATCTGACATAACATAAAGATCACAGAAATGAGTATTCTTCTTATGGTTCTACATATTATCAGTTAGAATCAGTTGTGGTTATTTAACATTCTTTGACTTACAATATGTGACTTTTGAATATGCTTCCAAATTATTGTGCTCTGACTTATTTTGAATGATCTATTGTAACTGATAAGTACTGATAGTAACTCACTATTATTGTTGTGGTCACAAACATTTCATATGTGCAAAAGAGACATCAATAAGCACATGTCATAATCTTCTAATAAAACTGTTAGTGATCAGTATAAAGTGGGAGTCTCTCTACTTACAATAGTATTCTTAACTCAAAAACATTGAACTTTGTGCACTTCACAGTTGCAGAGCTTTTTGATTCTATCATATATTACTAATTAGTACTGATCTATCAGTAAGTATCAGTAGCAACTCAAAGAAACTATTGTCTACAAGTCAGCAAGCTTCTTTCTCTTCTCTGACTGAGATGGCACTGTGCAGTCAGCTTTTTTGAATTCTTTTGTAAGTGCAGCAATTGCTGCTAGAGCTGTCAGATCACTCAGATCAGTTAATGCTGCAAGAGCAGCTGCATGTTCAGAGACAACAGTAGAAGTAGAAGTGAGAATTGTGAGAACATTTTCAGTTTCTTCTGATTGTAACTGATTAGAAGCAGAATCTTGTTCTGCTGATGCTGTTATAATTAGCTATTCAGTAATAACTAGTAGTGAATAATTGTATTGATCAGAATGTTGGTAGTGAATCAGCAGAAGAATAGAAAGAATAAATGCTGATCTATTATCAAAAACAACTGATTAATTACTAGTTTCTAGATAAAGAGTCAAATAAGACTTAATCTTGAACTAAAGCTGAGATCTCTGTTTGCCCCTGCATAAAGAACTCAATTTTATGCACATAGTGAGAGACTGTAATAAAATCACTTTCAAGCTTAAATTGAGCACATTTAAAAGTTTGAAAAAGCATGCAGTTTAATATGGAAGAATCTGCTTATCTTTGTGATGTTGCAGTTGTAAAGAAGAAGAAGAGAGTGAGAGTGAGCAAAGTGAAAAATATTATTAGTGTGAGAGAAAGAAAAAGTTCATGCACAAAATTAAACTAGACTATATTAGAAATAGTGTACACAATGTGTTCTTTTACATAAGTAAAGTGAGATGAACTTCATATATTGTGTTCTTTACATAAACTGAATCATACAGACTTAATGAAATCTTTCACTAAGTTCTCTCTTATCAATAGTAATTAGATAGTAGAAAAGTATGATCATCTATCATCTTACAACATCATACTGAGCATTTTTATAAATAACTGTTTTGTTACAGTTACTACATTCTGAGTTCTTTCAAGATCTTCTGATACTTCTAGTAATATTCAGTAACTTAATCTGATTATACAAGATCAAGATCTGTTAAGTCACTTCACAATGTCTGAGGACAGTTCAATCCACATCATATCAATTGTGCACTGGTAACATCCATGTCTGGAACCAGTAATTACCAGTTAAGACGCCTGTTGACCACACGCCTGGGCACCTGGGGACCCTAGAATTCTAACTAGTGCCCAACCTTGCCAAGCCCGCCAGCCTGCTCTATTTGTACCATGTCAGCACCCTGTACGGAGTAGTACTGAGATATTTATTTTCAAAGGGGAAATTATTTCCCATGATTCGTATTATCTCGTGAAAAGACAAGAAAAGAGCTAGCGGATAAGTAAGTACCCTGTCAAAACCACAGCAACCCCGCAAAATCGGCTGATTCCCTGTGTTATCCAGCCTAAACTTTATCATGAGAATGATAACAGAGAAATAATGCCCTTTGAACATACTACTTAGGGTAACCCGCCTTTAATAAGTTAAGAGACACATTTATGGAGTACACATCCTACCATTTCGGAGGGCCAAATGTTTCGCCCTTTGCCACTACCTTTCGTATGGCTTTGTAGGTATAATCCTTTCAAGATCAGCACCACCCAAAGTAAACAGGCTGGGTTCTTATTCTTACCACCGTCTCATATGGGACAGTATTTCCCCACCAATCCGGGGTGCTAACATTGGGAAATGTGATCGAAAAGAATATAATGATTGTTGCAATAACAAGGCCAGAATCCAGCGCTGCAGCCGTCACGTAGTTGTATTGATGCCACCAACCTGACCACCTGCGACGAATCCAGTGATTGAAAATCAAGCCAACAATCGCCCAAGAGGAAAAGCTGAGCGGTGTGGCACTTCTCAAGAGGGTCAGCGCTACTGGGGTATCGAAAAACAATCAAAGATTTGGAACTCACGGTGGTATCCAATTCATTGCCCCCAGCATTCTAACTTTAAGTTAGCCAGGCTAGTATCAATAAAGAAGCGGTGCCTATGTATGCATCACAGGACGTACACTGGAGCATTCAGAAGCCTGGCTGGTGACCGAGGAAATAGCCGAATAAGTGTATAAAAGATAAGTGGCAAGGCAGCCCCAAGTAACCAGTACCACTGTATCGACGAGTATATTGACCCAGGTCCGAACATACGTTTTGGCCCGATGACGCCTAAAAGTACAGATATAAAAATCGGCTCTATAGGAAAGAGAGTAGGAACTCATAACCTACCCCAAACAATACTCGATGAGAAAAACGTTTTGCCATTGGGGCAAGTAAAGTGGGCTTTCTGAGCACTTCGAACAGTCAACTTTGTCTTTCTTTCGCAACGAGGTTTGCCATAATACTTACGGCGTGCAAACATTTTCAATATTTCCAAGTGTCCAGTTCATAACAGCGATTTGGACAAAGACAGCCCAAATAGTTGCACCCACCTGACATGCAAAAGTTGTTCTTGGTGGGACTTTCATATAGTGTGCCAGCTACTGTTATCAGATATAATGCAAACAACAGATATCTTAACTAACCTTCAGATCTCGACTATATGTTTGTCTATGAACCATTGTTAGTCCTATCAGAGGGTATTTTGGGCCGCTTTTGAACTTACGCTCGCCCAAGGGTGTTCGTCGCGTAAACCTTGAACACCATGACACCAATGGCTTTTCCTGGTAGCATGAACCCCCCAATAAAAGGAGAAAGGACATTAAGAGCTACAGATAGCAATTAACCCCCATTCTAACTATGGCGATAAAGACCAATACCAAGTGATATGTTTGCAATGGCTATCAGCATGCACGTTGGGACCTAAACCAAGTAAGCCAGGCTATAATCAGTAATAAGCGCACATTATGAAGCGTACAACAAATACAAGGCCTAGAATAGTGGCAACAAAGAAAGCCCACCCTAGTTGGAGATTAATTGAAGAAGTAAGAGTGGTCTCCGAGGCCTCACTTACATGGCAGTTGAGATGGATAGGCTTCGCATGTCGCTAGGCCCAGGGCAAGCGAGACTGCCAGTAATATCGCATACCACCATTCAGGACACTCCACATATTTTGACATTAGTTTCATGTGGATATCAGGCTCCTGGTTCCTCGCTGCCTTGGCCCGATAGACAATCTCCTTGCCGTGAAATAGTACAATATGGACTAGAATAGCGGTGAGAGCAGCAAATGATAGGCCATAGTTCAAGGCAAACGTTGGCGGGAGAAACAGGGGAGAGTACGTTTTATATTTTTCAAGGTCAAAGGAGAAGCTTTGGCCCAAGATACGTGACACATTGTAAAAATTTTGAGTGTTGTCAAATATCGAGGATGTATTAATTGGGAGGTAATCCGCGTATCTATAGACTCAGCGTCGGTCGGGCAATTTCGGGCAAAGGAGCTTACAATGCGCCTGAGTACGAAATACCGATAGAGGTGATGATAACGAAAATACCTAGGCCAATCAGGGTGTTGAGGTGTGAATGTGTCGGGGAGAGTAAAGGATTCAGTAGGTAGCTCGAGATATATCTATTCTCATTTAGGCTGTTAAATAGTACTAGGGGCATATAGAGCACGTACGTCCAATCAAATGTGAGGGGTATTAACGATAGCCCAGTAAAGCCGCCGAACAGCTGGTTGATCACTGGGCTCTTTGGTCGAATCCCTAGCATGGCATACAGTAAGCAATTTTTACGTTGTAAATAAGGGCAAAGACAAACAAGTCATAAAGCAGAAGACTGAAAGTCCTTGCCACAAAACACCAGGAAACCTATGATGGATCAGTCTGAACTCTAATTCACACGTCTAGAGCAGAGCTACTAACCAGTAATATATAAAGGAGGCAGCTGTGAGGTATAAGAACCAGCGGTAGCGAGAAATCCGCCAACCATTGGTCTCTTCTGGATTAGACGGCCGTTTGTCATGTAAAGCATAGAATAGGGATGTGTTTGAAAACCCAACGGGCCAAATCATAGCCGAAGGCCTACGAAACCCACATAGTTAGCATGGGAGAGAAACTCCGTAATAATTCGCCTATACAGCACGCACCAAATGAGAAATCTCCGAAAGATACCAGAAAGAGACATTCCTATCATCTGGCTACTCAGAGTAAAAAGCAGTGAAAATCCCCATCCAAGATTTACATCGAAAAATGCTAATGCCGGGTTAGCGGTATTACGTGAAAGTCTATAGAATAACATACGCTTTCCTTGGAGGGCGAGGAGAGCATCCGTGCTATACGCATAGTCGAGGGATATGCTACTCATGCATGAGCATACAGTTCACACACTTATAATCCCACAGTCAAAGAGTGACTTACTTTGCCATGATCTATAGACAGTAAGTACTAAAAGCTTTCCAAGGTGGGAAATGCAACTTACTGTTATCACTGCATGCTCCTTAATCGAGAATGGACCAGGGTTTAATGTCCAGTTACGACCAAATGTATGAAATACTGTTCGCGGAGCAACCTTTGCCCAAAAGCATCCAATGGGATATACCAGCCTAACTGCTATTTAGTACTGCCAGTCTGACCCAGAAAGAAAGTATATTTACAGTTGAACAACTATTGAAGGAAAGGTAATTGCTGGGCTCCTGACAAAGTCGTTAGAGTTGGCAGCATTATGGGTAAGTGAAGTCTACCTCATGCTGAGAAACATGTTCAGCCCACTTCCCACTGTTACAAAGAAAATTCCTAATATCCATGCGCGAACGGTATTTGCCACTTCTCCGCCATCCGTATTTCGAACGGCGGCGCGAACTTCTGGATATGGCGAGTCCTCAAGGAAGTCCTTATCAACACGAGTAATTGTCTCGACATCATCCGTTCTTTTCGCTTCATGAATAGCATCGATCTTTTCACGGGGCAGGTTTGGATCCCACTGGTGAGACTTTTCCACTTTTTCAAATTCCTCTTTGATGTCGGCAGGATTCTGCGAGTCATCGTTTGGATTAGCATTACCGCTATGATCCGTCACGAACTCTACTTCGCCATTGCCACTAGAGTCCGTAGTGGAGGAAAATAATCTCTTGGGTTTCAACGCCATAGAAACCAAGCTGACGGGATGATATCTAGGAAGACGTTCTCGCCGAAAGAGAATTCAAGGAGGGCCACAAAGAGAAGGCAGTTGTGAGGTGTTATACTATCGAACCCCTCATGATTCTTTCCAAGCCCAGTCCTTTAAAATATTTGAGCCCGTACGCTAAGAATGTTACATCGGGAGCCGTGTGTCGGCCATCCCTGGATGAAATCTGTGGTCACGAAGCTTCGACAATCAGCCTCCTCCAAAGACTGGTGGAGCAGTCCGGGGTTCAGCCGTGAGCAAGGTCCAGGGTAACTAGTTACGTCCTCCGTAGTTAGATAATCAACTAGCCCATAATGCGCGCACATGCACCATAGTTCATATGTAGCTGTGGACATGACAGCCGGACACAAATGGATCCTTTACCTGGTTAACACCTAAAAAAAAACAATGGTTATCATTGGAAGGTATAAAATCATGCGTGCCACCATGCCCACTAAATACTCCTTGTTGAAGTGCATATTTCTTGTACTCTGTATGTGTAGCTAGATAAATTGCTGGGTTGTGTTGAAGTAAAAATGTGTTTTGTAGTTATTTGTGAGTTGGTTCCTAGACTAGTAGCAGAGGACTCTTCAACATACGGTGAAGGTCTAAGGTTATGAGGCCAACATATAGCCTCTATCCCATAGTTAATCCCTGTTGCTCGAAATATTGGGATGTAACAATAATACACAAAACCGGACTAGCAGCCGCTGCTTTCCTCGTCATTCCGAATCCCAGCCGCGGGCCCGCGTCTGGGATTACATACTCTACATAGCTTACCTCATCATGTCAAACGCAGGGCAGAAGGTTTTATAGTGAATGACACTCAGGAAAGCATAACATTATGAGAGCCCATCAGGCGATGAGTCTTCCAAATCCGATGGAAGATCTGAGCAACTGAGGCAAAGGGATGAGGTAAGCATTTAATCGGGCTCGTACTCCGTACAAACCCACACAAGGAGACGCAATGGGAAGCCGTGTTTATGATTCTGAAACAGCGTACAATTCTGATTCAACTCAAAAGCAAAACAAAGGGGATTTCACCCGCCAAATTAACGAAATGCGCAAGTCTCAAGTTAACAATTCAAATGGTATCGCATATCAACATCGTCTACTCCGTAGCCGATCAAAAACTCGTGAGAATTAATTTGGTGGAAACATCGACCTCTGCTTGCTTCCATCTGTACGTAACCGCAAAAAATCCAAGTTGCTCATCGCCGACCAATCGCCGTTCCATGCTTTTAGCTTCCTTAAATTGTCCACCGAGCCAAGATCTGGTAGCCAAAACCCGGTAGAGAATTCCCTTGCTTCAACTACTTCTTGTTGGCTCAGAATGCCTTCTCGTCTACTTGGGGGTCGACCTCTTCTTCGTTCCTGCCGGAGTTGTGTTAGCTCAGATGTATAGCGTGCTAAGTACCTGTGTAGTTGAAATAAGTAAGCTATTACGAGAAGCAAAGTAGGAAGAAGTGCTAACTTGTCAATGAGCTGTGACATATCATTATCGGAAAGAGGTATTGTAATTTCTGTAATATAACTCTTGAAAAAGCTCACTCTATCCACTGTCGTGTATGGAATAGTTCAAATATTATTAGCTTGTGAAATAATTTCAGAGAATAAAATAGTATTAGGCCATTCCTACAATATATTTGCCGTCCCGTGACATGTTCTGCAGCGACTCGGGCGAGTTTAATCTCCCGTGCACTTGCTCGGCGAAGGCGCCTCGAGTCTCTGCTATTGGCATGGAGCGCATCAAGTGCACCTCGCTTCTTGGATATTTGTTTTTGGACCTTCTGTAGGTTTTTAGTCATGTTCTGTATTGGGTGATATTTGCAGACAATTTCTGTCATAAGCGAAAATCTGAAGACATTGGCAAGATAAGCTTCGGATGATGACAGAATAACTAGACGTGCCTACGGACTACAAACATTGATAAATATCTTTGAAGTTACGTAATATAACTATAGGAAAAATGATAATCCGAATCTGGGATTACCTTAAATGGCCATTGGTCGACGCGTTGTTGACCTTTTTACGCGTTCTTGCTTTCTGCATTGCACTGCTCTCTTAGTTTACTCGTTTTTACAAGCTATTTGTTTCTGAGGCATAGTTGTGGCTGCATCTAAAGCTAACTTGATTCCTTTTTGTTGATCTGCCGACCGATTTCCAAGGTAAACACTGATGCGGCTGACGCTTGTCTTGTCAATATGGGTATTGCAGGTGAGTAAACTGCCACTGGAAATTCTTCAGCCTTGTTTAACACATAATACAGGCCTCCATGGCCTTTTGAAATCTATTCAGAAACCATCCCATATCAAGAAATTCAAAGGGAAACCCCTAGGGATCGATGCTTACGGTTGGCTTCACCGAGGAACCATTGCCTGTGCTATTGACTTAGCTCTCGGCTATAATACTACCAAGTATGCTTTCTTTCATGAACTTGTAATCAGTCTCGAGGCTTTCCTTACTAAGTATATGTAGATATGTCGAGTTCGCCATGCAAAGAGTTCGTATGCTTTTATACTATGGTGTGGTTCCTTATCTCGTATTCGACGGTGGCAGGCTGCCGAGTAAATATTCCACTGAAATTGCAAGAGCAGAGCGTCGAGAAGAGAGTAAGATACTAGGCGTCGAACTTTACCGAACCGGCCATATTTCCCAAGCTCAACAACAACTGCAGAAAGCAATCGATGTCACACCGCAAATGGCACGATTGCTCATAGAAGAGTTAAAGAGGTTCAATATTCAATATCTTGTTGCACCATATGAAGCCGATGCGGAGCTGGTGTATCTGGAGAAGGAAGGGATTATCCATGGAATACTGTCGGAAGATTCTGATATGCTTGTTTTCGGCGCAAAGCTGCTCCTATCAAAACTTGATAAGCACGGCAATTGTGTTGAGATTAATCGAAAAGATTTTCCAGCTTGCCGAGATATCAATCTTGTCGGGTGGACCGACCAGAAATTCCGTCAAATGTGTATTCTCAGCGGGTGTGACTATCTCCCTAACATTCCCAGAATAGGTTTGAAAACAGCATATCGAAATCTTAAAAAGTATAATACTATCGAGAGAGTTGTGAAAATTTTACAGTTTGAAGGGCGGTCCCTCGTACCTCCCAACTACATGGATCATTTTGACCGTGCTGAACTCACTTTTCTTCACCAACGTGTCTTTTGCCCTACGGAAAGGAAGCTGGTGCCACTCAATCCTTTGCCGGATAATCTTGAAGGAAACATTGCCTTTATTGGCGATGATATTGAAGCCGATATTGCAATACGAATAGCGTATGGTGATTTGGACCCGATCACTAAGGAGCCGATTTGTATTCAATCATTACATTCAGAGAGAGCAAGGATGGCCTCTACAGGAAGACAGGTATTTAGTGTTCAAAAACGACCAAACAAACCTATCGATTCATTTTTTACTCCCAAGCGAGTTCCATTAGGTGAATTGGACCCCAATATCCTCACACCCTCCCCCAGCCAGCAAGCGCTTTTGGACCAAAGCCGTGGCATTTCCTGGACCGCAACGCCAATATCGATCTCCCAGAGTTCTCCGGCGGCTCCAGGGTTCCAGCTTCCAGCTCGTGCCATACAGATCGTGCCCTTTTCGTCCCAGGCCGGAAATTCGACCAGATCTCCCCCAGTTAAAAGACAGCGCCTGTGTTCTGACGCGGACCAGAGAGCGTCTGTAGAGGAACACAGTCACTTTTTCACTGATTCTGCTCCTTTTCAGAATGCTGGTCGCGGCGCAATATCCTCCAAGAGGCGAAGAAGAACAGAAGTCGAAATCTTTTCAGATGATAGCATAGATAGAGCCATGCTCCAATTGGACAACATAACGAAAAACGCCACATATATATCAACGTTACATCGTGTGAACTTGCGGAGAGTTGAGTCTTCAAACGCCACAGGCGAATCACGGACACCAATCGTCCCAGGTAAATGTACAGCTTCAAGTCCATGCCATGCGATGTCGATCAGTCAAACGCAAACATTGAGGACACTACCATCCATGGAGAAAAGCCCTTCACCTAAGAAGTTCAATCCGGCATCGGCCACTCATATTCCCCGAGCAAGCCACAGAGATGCGACGCAGTCTTCCGCAACATCACCGATCAAAGCATATAATATTCCAACGAACCAAATTATCACAAATGACGAAGCGAGATCCCAAACCGAAAAATTGCCCTTGCATCACGGAACGACCTGGCAGGTTCCGAGGAGGGATAAACAAGTCCGCAGCCTCAACTTGACTCCTCTTCAACGACTGCAACGTACCGCATTGAGCAGATCCAAATCTATGAATTTCACGAAAAGAGAGGCACTCAACCTAGGGAAAGATGAGCCAGGCTATACTTCAGAGTGTTCAGTTGCCAAGCCAACAGCAGCCATTGACATTCCCTATCACCCTGTTGCTACAAGGGGCAGTGAGGATTCGATCATCCCAAGCACAGACAACGAGAACGATTCTCTCTCGGACGAAGGTGAGTGCCACAGATTTGGCTCTTCGGATTTGAGGCGTTTTGAATTCAAACCGAAATGATCGATTGGAGTTACGATTAGGCAATGCATGGCGGCCACTTCTTAGGATAGAAAATTGATTGATGTCGGATGTTTTGGTGTTTTGGAGAATGAAATTTTGGCATCTACAAGGAGCTCATTGTGTTGGGGCGAATTCCTGAGCACCGGCGTTAGAGCATGCCAAGGCTGCGCAAGTATGGAGTACCCCGTCATATTCGTTCGATAAACATGATACATCCTATGTACTCCGTACTTGACAATGATAATAGGATTTTCAAAAAGGTACTCCGTACATAAAACCCTAAGCCCTAATTTTCCAATGTGTTACCCATCAAAATCCCATCACTATGATTGGCCCAAAGCCACATCCAACTGTAGTCCTGGATGACATAATACAGATTCCGCTTAATCAGCTAGCAATTCATGCTGGATGCAATTCTCAAACTGAGGGCGCAGCTCTGTGCCCTATTGTTTACCTTTTGCTTAGAGAGTTTTGGCAGGTGCAATTAGTAGCAGCAGGGGTTGAGTAGCGAACGAAGTGAGCGACCTCTGCTTGCATATTATTTCGCCCGTCATTTGGACCAAGAAGTTCAAGTGCCCCACCCGCTTCGGGCCCCGGCCTCAAGCTTAGAGCACGTGTCATCGGCACCAGGGCTTGACCTTGCCATAACTTTGGTTCGACTCACCACGCCTTTGAACCCTCGCCAAGCCAAGGTGTAGTGTTGCCCCGGCAACACTGTCGGTAAACAGAGATTCCTCGTTGGCCCAGCCACCTGTCGAGTCGTTGCTTGATCAAACATGCGGCCGTTCATAGTCCAGCCACCGTTTTTCGCAGGACACTCTAGACGATCATATTTGTCTCCTTTTTACTAGACTTTGTGAAACCTTCAGACTTTTCTTCTGTTCGGCGAAATGCCACTCTCGACGTGCACCCTTCAACATTGAGGCAACTCGTTTCATATAAGAATTCTTAGTTGATATTTTGCTGTCTAATAAGACTCCTCCGGAAGTGGAATCTCTGCTATCTGCTATACGTCTTACTAATATTTGATATCTATCATTCGTTTTTCAACTATTCCCAACCTGCCCATTATCCCACTCGCCGTCATCGCCGGATTGGGCATTCTCTGACGCATTGAATCTTACTGCAGGGTGGCTCTATTTCTTTCTTGATATACACAAAAATCGCTACTCGATATTTCCGCCAATAAACGCTTTTTCATAAACGCGATAAACTACCGAATTAGGATCCCGTTATCTTCTCTAATTGCAGGTTATTCGTTAGGTCACTCGGCGACATATTTGCCTTTAGCTGTGTACCAAGTTGGTGCTCCTTCTCGGGGTTCCGAGAAGCGAGCGAGGGACGGTAGTAAAGGGCAAAAGAATTGTCTACACTCATAATGCGATTCCTAAATGGAATTAGCCGTACGTTCTCTCAACTGATACCGCGGAGCGAAAGGCCATCGCGTAAGATAAGCTGCCAACTCTAACTCTCATATTAGGGGTATTGCCTTTAATTGGCTATCACCATGTCCTTATGATATTTATTGCCCTCGCCATAATATTACTCTGTAAGTCATACCACTGATGCCTGCCCTTTTTAGAGGTTTTTGGCTTACATGTGTCATTTTCAGCTCTTCTATTAGCAGGATGCTCGTCCTCATCACCCCAGATACCAACCATCTTCCTAATATCCCTATTCTACGAAAGATACCCCCCTATAGAGTCGACAGCCCAAGCATCACCTCAAATGGCGACCGCAATAGCAAACATTGTTGGGGGAGCACAACTTGAAGTTAGGGTTGGGTATTTTGGGATCTGCATTCAAAGAGGCGGGGGGTCATTCATTTGCAATGCCAATGCTACTGCACTTGCCGGTATTCTGCGCAGCGAGGATGACCCTTTGAATTTGGTCTGGGTTGCATCTACGTTTAAAGATGCTGTTGTATTTCCCTACCTCATGTAAGTTCGCCTTCTATCAACGATACGAGCGTCGTTAACGTTAGCTACTCCCACTAGAATTGTTGCCGTGGTCCTTGCGTTCCTTTGCTTCCTTCTTCTCGCTACTTTTCCTGGCTGGCATGAAGAAACTTCAGAGGACGGCTCGGATCGGCAGGTCAGACCATTTCCATCCCGTGCTGTCTCTCAGGTCGCCCTCGCGCTCGTATTCATTGCTTCCGTATTCGTTTTAGTGTCCGTACTTTGGCAACACACAGCGTCCGTGGCAGCAAGCACGGTTGCACAAGATATGGGAAATGGCAGCGTAAAGAGTGGGGTAGGAACTTCAGCAATGGTCTTAGGCTGGTTTGGATTCGTCTTACTGGTCGTTGTTACGGTTGGGTTATTGGCCATGATTCTGAGCATTAGCTTACTAGCAAAACTGGCAGATGATGTATGATTTTGGGATATTTGGGCGGACAGCGGACAGGCGAGTTTTTTTGTCTATATATGCATTTTATCCGGTTGGGTGGGGAGGGATAGGCTAAGTTAATCCTTTTGGGTCTTTTTACAGAATTCTCATGAGTCATGTTTTAATGCTGAGCTGATGACACAGATAGGAAATAGGAATCAGTAGGCTTGCTTGGCGATTCGTAGTATGCATATATAGAAAAATACCAGCAACGGCGTTTGACAATAAAAAGAAAAGACTTCCCATGAACATCGATATTGAGGACAGACAATAAGTTAGTTCAAATATCTCTACCTACTTAGTAGTTCATGATAGGATTTCCACTGCCTGGTCCCCCTCTATCGTCAACCGAAGCGTCGTAACCTGTCCTGCCAGGTGGGTAATCGTCTAAAGATCGGTACCCAGCGTAGCCACCCCCATCGCGGCCGGCAGGCGGGCGACCTCGGCCTCGACCTCCACCCCGGCCCCCACGGCCGGCACGACCACGGCCGCCACTGCGATAACTCGAGAGATGCCCCCGACGGGAGTCATCTTCGTTATTGAAGCTCCGTAGTGGTCTTTCGTCGCCCAGATTTCGTTCCTGGCGTGGTCTAGGATATTCATTCGGATACCCACCTCTAGAACGGCCTGTTTCCCGGGTACCATCCCTTAGATACGCTGGGACATCTTCGTTATCGCGTGTATCATACTTATGTCGGCGTTTAGATGCTCGGCCGGGGTTTAACCCATCCACATCCGCATCATCTGGGTTTTCTTCACACACTCGCAAAACCAATTTTTCCCCAACTGTGGCATCAAATACCAGAGCATTCTCTTCTGAAACCGAACTCCAAGTACGGATTCGCCCAACATCGATAGGACGAGCGCCTTTCCTCAACGCGAGAACAATCACGGGGTCATGGTTGTCGGTGTAGATCTCATCAGAATCAGATAGAGGCGCTACTCTAGCAGCCCATATTTTGTTTTCGTAAATTGCCGTGTCAGTGACCCGCCAACGTATATTTTTGCCAAGTCCTCCTACTCTGTCAAGAATCATTTTCGATGCTGTGCGTGGGGTGATTAATATCGTATTGGCCATTAGCCTAACGTCGCCTGACTCAAGAAGACCAGCTGGAAGTACGGGTACGGTCAGATATTTTAGCAGGCGTTCTGAATCGGCGTTGGTAAGCATATATCCGGTATAGAATATGAGGCGGTCTATCTTGAGGCGGCCATACGGAGATTTGGTGGTATTTCTCGACGATGCAGCTATGGTCGCATTGTGAGAGTTGATCATGCGTTGCACCTCGGCAGCCTCATCAAAAGGTGATAGATATCTAGTTCTTTCAGTGACATGGATAACTTCAGTTGTAATCGATTTACGGATAGGATTGGAGTTAGGAGGGATAAATTGAAGGTTGAATTGTTCAAAAAAGTCTCGAAATCCTTTAACACTAGAAGATGTCAATATAAAGAGTAATGAGACGCGTAACGATATTATACTTACTGTTTGATACGGTCTTCATAGATCCGGATTTCCTCGGCATTCTTGTAAGTAAATACCAGGTCTTCAAGGAACGTTTGTTTGAAATTCAGTGTACTGGGGAACCGCTGGTTGCTAGGTCCAATCTCAGGCTTAAGACAGACCAAGTCAAACTCTAATTCTCTGCTTTTCACAATGCGTTTTATAACATCAGCAAATGCACTTTCAGCACGGCCAGTAAGTAAAACTGTGACGACATCTTTTTGCTTCATGCTGAGCTCCACAAGTTCAACCTGTAGCTTATTAGCACACAACTTAGACCCGAATGTGTTAAATCAACATACAACTTGCTCATTCCACCACCCTTTCCAAGCTCGGGGTTCTTCTACATCAAACCCCTCACCAGTGGCAGATAATATATTGGGGTCATGCCACCAACCTCCATTGGCGAAGGATTCATAAGTCTGAAGGAAACCAATCGTATACCCATTCCATAATTGCGGGTTTGGTAAAGGACTACTAAAGACTAGAGGGAAGCATAAGTTTCTCGGTATTTGGTTCAGAGAAACTAATCAGGACCTACGAGTATTATCAAAATCATAGATGTGGATTGCCTTAATATCAGCAGCACCTAAAAAATGATTACTATGAGAGTTCTCAACAGTCCATCAATGCCCACCTGGTAAATCCGTATTGTTGTTTAGGCATGACCATCTTTTCAATGCCGTGGTAGTGTAGGGGATTGATCGCTTCCCATCCAGAAAAGTCGAGGAACTGAGAGGCACCATCTTGCAACATAAAAAGGCGCATGAATATACGAGTGGCTTGCCAGGTCTAAGCATCACACAACTTCATATTAATAGTCTAGATATCGAGCCAGAAGCCACCAAATGTACTCCGTATGCAGTACGTTTTCATAGCGAGTTCCATGCTGAAGATAGCGTTTGAATTTCCCGGCGGAGGGCGACTATTCCATAGTGGAATCGCGGATCTCTGCACTACCATCGGGTTACCGATTTTCCGAGCTGTTACGTAACGTAATTCATCACCGAACGACCTAACCCACAAAGCGACTGATTTTTCTACCATAGACCTCTACTTTCAAAATTCAATAAAATGATCAATGAAGCTGCTATTAAATTGGTGATTGAAGATCTGCACTCACAGAAGACTTTTAATTATGTCAAAACTGCCAAAAAGTATGAAATCAATGTAACTACATTGATGTGTCACTTTAAAGACATATAAGTCTCTAGATGCAAAGCCATCTCTCTATATTCAAGAAATCTTACAGATGTGCAGAAAGAAGCTCTTCTAGAACATATTAACACTTTTATAAATCACAGATTTTCTGCTACATCTCAGCTTTTATAAAATTTAGTAAATGAGATTCTATAAAGTGATGTAGAATTCAACTGAGTCTCTTGCTTTATTGAATGTCATGAAAATTGACTTATTAGTGTTTTTCTACAGAATATTGATCAAAAGAGAAAAGCTGCTGATAATTCTATGTACTATTCTTCATTTTTTAATCTAGTAATATCTCTTGATTTTATTGATTTGATATTGATTTTCACTGAGTTAAGACTAACTATACAAATTTCTATAGCTTCAAGAAAAAATTGAGAAATATAATCTTAAATCTGTAAATATTTACAATTTCAATGAAAAAGACTTTATTATAGAACTAGCAAATACATTTAAAAGAGTAATCTCTTTACAAGCTTATAAGTGTGATGAAATATTGAGTGCTGTACAAAATGATGACTAAGAGTTCATCTTTCTACTTACATGCATCTGTGCTAATGAATTCTCCGCTACATCAGCTCTCATTTACAAGAGAAATTCTAGAGACATGCAAGATACTTAACTTATTGATTTTAACTGTGAAAAGAATCAAACTTACTTTACTGTATCAAAAAATAAATGAATCAATGATAAATATGAGATCTGCTGACTGAAATTATTCAATAAAGAGACTAGAGCCAAAGCTGATTCTGTAGACAGTAAGTAAAGTAGATGTCTGCTTATACTGAACAGATATGTCTCTCATATTAATATGCAGTTCATTAATTTTACTGATAAGAATAAGATTCTACTGCTTATTCTTTCATTCAGCTCTACACACTGTTTATAGTCTCTAGATATTGAACTTTTTGAACCAATACAGCACTATTATTCAAAGAAACTAAACAACTTTCTTCAGCAAGACATGAACTTTATTAAAATGATAAAATTGAATTTCTACATCTTGTTCAAACCCACATATGCAGCAGCTTTTACATCAGAAAATATATTATTTACATTTGCAGATACTGACATCTGATCATTAGACTCTAATAGAGTGCTTAAATCTATATGATCTAAGATTTCAGACATTCAGGAAGCTGCTCTAGAGTCTACTACATCTACTACATACTGAGAGATAGACAGACTACTAGACTATTTGAAGAGAGTCAATGTCATCTCTAGATATAGACAAGTCTATTGTGCTCTAGAGAAAATAGTGCTGGAAAAAGTGATTATAAAAACTGAAAGAGATGATCTAGCTGCAGCTCTAAAAGTTAAAAAGAAGTGCTGTCAGTGTGGCAAAGCATTGTGTGAGAATCAGAAGATTGCAGATAATGTGACAATGACTTACAGTCTTTGTAAATGAGATTAGATTTGGTGAGAGATGGTTACAAAGAGATCTAAGCATGAGAGAGAGAGAGATAACTTATATTGCTACAACAGTATCTAGAGTCTCTAGATATGTTGCCACTGATCTTTATAAAGAAGTGTCTGTGACAGATTTTGTGTGTTCAGCTTTGCTAATGAAATCATGTGATCAGTTATAAGATTTACAAACTTCAGATGTCATGAAGCATAATCATCTAAACATCAAGAAGATTTTATGAATCTCTTTTAAATGATGAGATGAATGTAAGAAGACTGCAGCATAAAGTCTTACAGATTTCTTTCTCTTCATAAGTTTTGATCTTTAAGATGTTGATGTGATCAAGATCACAGTGAGAGTGACAGCTTCACTGTAATTGTAACAATTTTGTACAAAATCTCTTTTTGGTGTGATGAATGTAAGAAGACCACAACACAGAGTCTTAATTTAATCTCAATTTCTAGATGTAGATGTGACAGTAAGATCACAGCAAGAGTGACAGCTTCTTTGTGATCATAATGTAGTTGCTGTAGTGACTGTCATTTTTCATAATTTATTTAGTGATACTTAGCAATCTCTTAAATATAAATATCTCTTTTTTGATCTTCTCTCTCTCTCTCTTTCTTTTTTCTTTTCAACAACATTTTTCTTTATTTTAATAAGAGTTTCAGACAAGCATTCTCTTCTTGATAATTATAAGTCTTGAGAGACTTCATAAAGAGCTTTTCTCAGTGCTAATATATTATGTAGAGAGATAATTTTGCCATGTCTTTTCTTCTGTTCAAAATTAAAATGTCAAAATGTGAGCAACAATGACTCAGTAAGTTTGAAGATAAAATTTCAATCAGTCATCATTTAAGACTCTCTTCAGAGACAATAAGAGAGATGTCTTCAGAATCTTCTACTTCATCTGAAGCAGAGTTCTCAATCACTGTCATTTCTCAAGAAAATTAAAGTGAAGAGAGATCATTGTCATTGATCTTTATTTACACAACAGAGAGTTATGTTTCTGAAGACTTTAAGATCTCTTTTCAGATGTCATAATTCAGTCAGTCTGATTCTGATTATGATGATGTAAGTGATATTCTTTCATTTCTTCTTCTTTTAATGCTTTGTAATTGCTTTTACAAAATCTGAAATATTCTTTACAAAGTGATTTCTCACTTCATAATTCTCTTTTCTGTGTGCATGACTGATGGCATATTCAGAGCACTAATATTCAAGCTTGACAGAAACACTTAATGATGTCTACTGTGTCTAATAACAATTCTTTTTCAACTACTAGTTTCATTGCCTCAGTTAATCAGATCTTGAGAGAGAGTGGCCATTCATCTCTCAGATCTGAAATTTTTATTGATAATACATTACTTTATTTTTCTCAATCTGATCTGTTTCTATCACATTCTCATTTTCAGTCTGTGCTCTTTTCTATGCTGTATCCATTCTTAAGCATTGATTCTGTCTCTGATACACTCAAGATATGTTGAGTTGCTTTGTAACATGACTTATGAGACAGTTTCTGCTTTGTAAATTCATTTACAAAGTGATATTGAGAGTCTCAGCTAAAGCTTTTCTTTCTCTAGAAGTCAGTTTCATTAACTTCTTCTCTATCTGCTGTGTCTGCTTCTGCTTCTGCTTTCCCAGCCTCTGCTCTGACTGTTAACTTACTGATCAGAACACTGATTACTATGAGCCATCTTTCACTCTTAATTTCAGATCAGAATTCATCTGATTGTGAGAGATAACTTCTTACTTTCTCTTCTCTTCAGTTCACAACTCTTACTGATTCAACAGACTCTGTTTGACTGAAAAATAGAGCTCAGCTCTGAGAAGAAGTTCTGATCATCATAACAGATAATTATTCTCAGCAGTCATGTACAGTATGTTAGAGTAACTTAAATTTCTCATTGAGACAGTATGTTGCAAGTTCTCTTAATAGAGACAGATGTAATAACTGTGTCTATCAGACACACAAAACTTATTCTTTCAATTCTTAGAATTGCTCTCTTGTTTTCTTTCTTTTATTACTGTGGACTTTGGTCACTAATAGTCTAGTTTTCTCTTTCTTTTGTAGGCTTCAGTCATTAATAGTCTAGTTCTTTCTTTTATCTTAGAGTAAATTCACTACTTCTGCTTCATGAACCACTTCTTAACAGTTGTAAATGCTTTTACAGACTGAGTTTTCTTCTAAATTAATTTACTACTTGAGTCACTGCTCTTCTGCTTCATGAATCATTTTCAAACTGCTTCATAAATGACTTTACAAATCTAACAAGATCTCTCTAAGTGCACATTCTCAGAATATGATGTAGACTGAACTTATCTGAATATTTTCTATGAAACTCAAACAGCTTCTTATCTAGATGTCTCACATTCTTTGAAGACTTTTAAGTTCTTTTCTCATATCTCTGCCACTGCACAAGATATTCAATTGCTTGATCATTCTTATGAAAGTCAACAATCTTCTGTATCTGATACTCTTGCTTCACAGAAAATGTCTCATAAATTGAGTGATGTAATTGACTATTCACTCTCTTCTGTTTCTTGTGTTTGATTAGAAGAGACACATGAAACACATTGTATACTTTCAGCTCTGATGATAGTTTCAATCAATAGATTTGAGATCTCAATTTTTTCACAATTCAGCATGATCTGTGCTGAAGAACATCTAACTTCTTGCTAGAATGTGCTGTTCTAATGTTACAAAGATCTAATCATATCTGATCATCTTCATAAAATGATACTGCAGTATGTTTCTTGTCATAATAGCTCTTTTAATAGACTTGTGTCTTTGTAAAACTCTTCTGAGCTGTCTTATGCAGCTCTTTCAACTGATCTGTTAGTTTATGAGACTCAGTTGTGACTGGCACTGATATTTCTGCTTTCAGAAAATTCATTCATGAATGACTTACTGTCAAAAGCTCAAAGAGACTTTTCTCTGTTGAGAATTGTCTAGAGTTGTTGTAAGTAAACTCTGCATGAGACAATTTTTCAATTCAGTCATTTTGTTCATAATTGATGAAGCTTTGTAAGTACTGTTCAAGAATACTGTTCAGTCTTTCAGTCTGATCATCTGTTTGAGAATGAAATGCTGTGCTCATTTTTCTATTAATTTTGAGAAGATATAACAGA